AACTTGTTTGTAAGTTTTACATAGTAGTAAAGTATCTTTCACAGGATAGATCTAATCAATGGTTTCTTCAGACAATAGCTTACAAGTTTTAACTGAAGACCCAAGAGATTTTTGTACTTGGTGAAACTGGATTTTAAAGTGTGGGGGACAAATTATGAGGGGGTCACTGTCACTTGGGGGAATCACTGTTAGTACCTTCTTTAATATCCCTACAAGTGTAGACCAAGCCTAAGTAAACCCTTGTCTCCTTATTATGATAAGCAGTCTGATAGACTTCAATGGGCCATACTCATCTGAGGAAGATTTGGCCCTCAGAGAGTTTGAGTTATAAAATGCTCCCATCCTCAAGTCCACCATGGAGACAATTAATGTTTGTTGAAAATATGTCAGGGATTAAATCAGTTTCTGTTACATCTGTTAGCCTTAATATTTTCAGCTGCTATTTTAGTCATTCAGTATACTCTTACACTTCTTATTGTTACATTCTTGCACCCCCTAACTTGGGCAAAACTACCATTAACTGACTCACGTTGTGAGTTGCCTGAGCAGGAACTGTTGGATTAGGCCTAAATATCATAGCTCCTCTGATTTGGAAGGATTCTGAAGCATACTCCAATCTATATATTAGTTATGTAAATTATTTACTCCATTAATTTAGCCTTTGTCTTCTCTTGAGGTTTGTGTTCTATATTGTTGTTTTTTTCACTCTGATCATGAACAGTTTGCTGAAAGTATTTAATACTTAGTATCAAGGCCGGCTCCAGGCACTAGCGGCGGAAGCACGTGCCTGGGGTGGCACATGCTAAGGGTCAGCATTCTGTCCATTCTTGAGGTGGCACAGTCTGGGCATTGTTGGGGGGTTTTTGGGGGTTTTTTTTTTTTTTTTGCTTCAGCAGTTCGGGTGGCAGTCTGAGCGGCTTTTTTTGGGGGGGATTTTATTTCAAATTTCAAAATTGTGGAAATAAACCACTATTAAATCAAATTACTTAGCTGCGAAGAAACATTATGCCAGTATACATTTAAAATAGTACTTAATAGTATTTCTTTTTTAGAATCTTTTTAATTAACGAGCAGATCAATTTTTGTTTAGAATCCACTGGGCCTATATATAAACTATTTTTAGCACAAGTGTTGAAGCAACTCTTACAAATATTAATTGTTCAGGCAGTGGAAACATTTATACATTTTCTTCTGGTTTTTGTTTATTTCATGGGTAACTATGATTTATACTTTGTATAGTAGAATTATAAGTACACAATTTCTAGTTAAAGCGGAATTTGCAAATCAGGAAATAGACTATGGCCCTGATCCTGCAGCATTAAAGTTAGTAGGAGCTTTGCCATTGACTTTAATGAGTGTATGATCAAGCCCTAGGAACCTGAGCCAACATATTTTAAAGTCAGTGGAAAGGCTGCAATTGAGTTCAGTGGGCTTTGGATCAGGCTCTTTGAGCATTTTTTTCCCCTCTGATTTATGCAGCAGCACTGATGTCAATGGATCAATCCCAAATTTACTTAAATGTAACTGCTGGTAGAATTTGGCCCTATTCCATGATTTACAAGTTCTTAGTATAATTGGTATATTCTAATCTATTCCTGTATCTAAAAACACATTCAAACTCTCCTACAATTAGGTAGCATTCTCCAGAACCCTTTTTGTCCTTTCAGTGTTCGAGTCTGCTTCATGCATCTGACACTGAATTAGATAAAGAGATAAATGACTTTGCAGTGGATAATTATAATTTAAGCAATAAGAAACCCAGAAATAAATTAAGTTTATAGCTACAGTTGCTTTTGGGATGTGAGATCCATCACTTTTATACTGTAGCACCATCATTAAGTTGCAGTGCAAGCATATGATTTTAATTCTTTTGGCAGTATGGGGATTTGATTTTGTGTTGACAGCAGGAGCAGTATATGTCAATGTACAATTGGTAATAATTATTCCCTAGTTAGGCAAATAAAAATGACAGGCTGAGGAGTCAAACAATACATTGAACTGATCTAGATTTTTTTAAAATAGATATGTGGCAAACAAGAAGTATCTATTTGAATTTCATCAACAATTTTGAAAAGATCTTTAATTAGATAGTAGCAAAGAGTGAGTAATTGAACCCAGACATGTGAAGTGTAACCCCTGAAGGCAAACCTATCCAAAGAAAACTCTGCATTGTCCTAAAAATACTGGTGTCCCAGCAAGTATCAGGCAACATCTCTCACTATGGTGTAAATAAGGAGTAACTCAGTTGAAGTCAGTGGAATTTCACTGATATAAAACCTAAGTATGAGGAGAATCAAGCCCATTGTTTTTTCCTGTAGGTTTATACACTGTCTCCCCACCAAAGAGCTATGAATACTTCATTGTTTACATATTTAGATTTATACATTGTGCAGACTGACCCAAGCCATTATCCGCTTATGAATATTTATCCAGGGATGCATTTTATTCAGCAACTTCCCCCTCACCACACAAACAGTTCTAAACAATGAAAGATGTCTGCTTTGGGAGAAAGCTGCACCTGGGTCCCCTTTAGGATGCTGTAGGGTAAACACACATTAATGAGCAGAATACAAGAAAAATACTGGCTTTTGGAATTCAGGGTGAAGTTTGGACAGACCACGAAAGGCCCCCTACAACACTGAAGCCCTGCATTTTATCTTGATGGTAGGAGAAGCACAGGCAAAAAGGCTGTGCAACGGGACCTATACGCCACATGGAGGGGGGTGCCATACTAGTCCAAAAGAGACCAGAACAGAGGGGGCTGCTTTTAGGGTGATTGTGTGGCCCTCATGAACCAAAAACCCCAAAAGGAGTTGCAGTCACCTTCAGATTCGTCCACCGGGGATTGAAGTGAACTGTTCCCTGCAATTTGAAAGGTTTAAACTGGATTTGAACCTCCAATCAAAAACTCCAGTAGCCAGCCCCTCTTTATTTCCATGCCACTTCAGCAGCTCCCAGCACCACCACCCACTTCTTCAATGTCTTTAATGTGATTCCTTTTGCCTATTAAAATGTGGGGGACAGAGGCTGTTTGAAGAGGAGCAGAATTTGCCAGCTTTACAGCTAGGCAAACAATTTCAGGCTATGCTTCTGAAATTTCACATGAACAGTTGAAGTTTGCAAACACATTGAACTTTGAAATCAAGACTGAGTTTGAGTGGGCTTGTGATTTAATATGACTATTGCATACAAGAGCTTCAGTCTCTAGATGAGTCATGATTCAGATGTTTTGAAAGAGTGGTACATAACTAAATTATCAGAAATTTACCTCTATTTCATGTGGTTTTTGTCTTTGGTGTAAACTACAATTATATTCTGAACAGTGGTTCTGTATGTGACATTTTACCAAAGATCCCTAAACATTAGGAATTATCAAATAAAATGTGATTGTAAGTAAACCCCTAACCAGTATCATTGTTATTCTTCAAGTAGAGTTATATGGAGCCTACCATGAGTTCTAGAATGGGCTGCTGCAACAAGAGAACTAAGAAACAGATTAATTTATATAGTGGTTGTGATTCACCTTCCTGTGAATTCTACAGTATCCCCGTCTCTGCTGATATGAGGCCAAAGCTAAAATGATTAGAACATTAGTTCATTAGCATGCACTTTTAAGAAATGTGTTTAGAAAAATGCAGTTCTCATTTCTTACACACGTTCCAAATTAACTCCTTTGTAATGTATATTAAACGCGTGATCAACTTGGCTGGAGATAAGACAGAAAGTTGTTTGTTTTTTAATTGGGTGAGCAGCAGCTCAGACTTCTGGAAACAAGTTTGAAATATTTGAGAAGCAACAATAGGGGGATTGAGAGAGATTCAGGAGAAAGGTGATTAAAATTAGGATTTCTCTCTTATGTTGTGGTCTCAAGAATGAAGAAGTTGAAGCACTAATCTAGGGCCCAATTTTCAAAAGTATTAGGTTTATGAAGATACAGATGGTCACCAAATGAGATTTTGAAAAGCACCTGCACAGCTTAGATATCTTAGACATCTAGGGCTTCATTGTTGGCTAATTTTTCCTTAAAGATTTTTTTAGAAGCTCTTCTGAGCTCCTCCACTATTAATTTTCAAGTTACCATTTCCTTAGTAACATAAAGGTTAGTCCTTTTGTTTTCCTTCTTAAAATCAATTTGCATGAAATGACTCTTTAGAAGTCTTGCTCACATTTTAAAACACATTGCAAATAAAAATATGAGGTTTAATAAGCCTGATAATATCAAACATTAAAGGGAGCAAATTATGTGGTCCTTAGTTGAGCAAAACTCATTTACTTCAATGGTAGGCTTGCTTGATTATGAATTTTGTCCCAGAAGTTTTTTTTTTTTTTAAATTATAATATAACAAATATGTTATAGATCTTTTTAAATAATGTTAGGTTTTTAAAGTGAATGCTTGTGAAAAGCATTTGTGTGACAGTTTTTTAGACTGAAATCTGCATCCCCAAAGAGGAGATGCACCCTGAGAAGTAAGAAGGCAGCTGTCTCCACAATGCTTCACCAGCATGCCTCAATCCCACCTTCAGGGATGCCTCAAGAGATATTGTAAAGGGGTATTTAAGTTCTTCTCATTCAGTCATTGGCTTCTCTACTAAGGTGCTCAGTTGTGGTTGTTTTGATATATTGACAGCAGTCCACTAAAAAATGCTCTGAAACCATTAACTTATTTTAAAAATACCACACCGATCATGAAGAGTCATTTGAATGGTAATGTCTTTTGGCTACTGGACTTAATCTCAATTCAGTCTAGTGAGTGAGAAATGGAAGTTTCAGTCTGATCCCTCTTTCCCACAACCCCTGAGTTATGGGATAGGTAAAGTTGGGGATATTGGTTTGCTATTATTCTCTTTATTTCAACCCAATAACATACTTCTGTTGTGCACAGGCTGGTTTTATGTATTCATGCACAGTTGTGGCATCCATCATAGCTATTCAAAGAACTATGATAGACATGCTGTAATTCAGTCTGTAATTCACGTTTTACTTCTGTGTTCCTCTACAGATAGTAACTTCATCCTTGCAAATGCTCAGGTGGCTAAGGGATTCCCTATAGTTTACTGTTCAGATGGCTTCTGTGAACTTGCTGGATTTGCACGAACTGAAGTCATGCAGAAGAGCTGCAGCTGTAAATTTTTACTTGGTGCTGAAACAAATGAGCAGATGATTCTTCAAATTGAAAAGTCACTGGAAGATAAGGTGGAATTCAAAGGAGAAGTCATGTTTTATAAGAAGAACGGTGAGTTTTATTGCTTTCATCAGTGTTCTATTAGTTCCAGACAAGCTGAAATTTGCTATTATTCAGCATAGTAGTTCTATATCCACTGTGTTTAACGATACTGCATGTGAATGTTCAGAAGGCTACAGAAATGGATTTGAATAAAGGCAGGGCTGTTGTGATGGTAGAAGTGTGAATATATATGTAGAAGTGGTAATATCTATGTGATAAATTGCAGGGTATTGTAAAAAGCTGGAGAGACATAAATTGCAGTGTGGAGCACTGAGTTATTCAGTGTAGAAGGTGCACCATGTCTACTCATCTTGTAATCAAACATTGACCTGGTCTTATTGAAACTTTAAAACAAAAATTAAATTAAAACTCACCTACAGACCGAGACTAAGCATGGAAAATTTCAGCCTGATAGAGCTGGTTGGAAAATTTACAGTGAAACTGTTTTCCTTGGGAAAATACCATTTTGACCAAAAAAACCCCCACAATTTTTTCACAAAATGGCTTGATTTTGAGAAAATTTCCCACAAAATTTGTTCAGAATTGGAACGAACAAACAGATTTTCAAATATCAAAATGTTTTACCAAATGGAAATTCCAAGTTTCAACCAGCTCTACTGATTCTGAAATTTTCAGAAAGTTTTGAATGTCTTAGAGTGCTCTTTCTCTAGCTGCTATAATACATGTAATAGCCAAGGTTTAAAAAACAAACAAACAAAAAACAGGTGCCCCGACTTAGTTCAGTGGATATTAGATTGGGACCCAAAAGCACAAGCCCCTACTTATTTACAGCTAAAGGAGTTCATATTTGTATGAAGAGGTAGAGGCTTGTGCGTATTGCGCTGAAGGCCCTAAGTTTGATCCCCATTTATGACTGTGATATCTGTATGTGTCTGCACAGAAAATATATCAGCAATGATACCACAAAGGGGAAAAAAAGACTTGGGTTTGCACCAGCATGCCTGTAGACAAGTGATATAGACCATTCTTCCACCCATTCTGTTGATGGCAGGCTCCTTCACTCCCTCTTAGAACACCTCCCTCACTCGTTGCTATGTGTTTTGATTGTGTTGCCTTTGAAGTGAAGCACTGGCCATATGTGATGCTCAAGCACGAGTAACCAATGGGTGAGCAACTGACATAATGCCGTGAGAATGGTCTCAAACAATTAAAAAATATTTAGGGCTTGAGGCTGTAGTTCACTGTGTATCAGCTTTCATTTTTATTTTTTAAGCTTAGCATTTGTGAACAAATGTTCTGGCTAGGTGCCTTCTTCACAGCTCTTGCTTAATATTTATGTGCTGTTGAAATGTTTCCCTGTAGAATTATATTACTTTGGTATTATACGTTTTTAAAGATGAGCATTTTAAAATAATGGATAATACTCTGAGGAAAGAAAAGACAATGTATTGAAAATACTAGGAGAAAAATTGTCCCCTTTTCTGATTGCAATATACAAGGGAAAAGGGTCATATAGTCTATAGGCTCATAAACCTCAGGCTAATACAAACTCCATATTTAAAGTGTCGTATTATGTAAAAACATTTTGAAGATGCAATAAAAGGCTTCCCTCTCCTACTTTTAGCATTTAAAAGAAAACATTGCAGTGTGTCTGGAGCACATGTTCTATGAAGCTGATTCAAAGAAGTTAATTACTGATTTACTGATCTTTCTTGGATATGAAAAATGTTCCAGAAGTTTCAAGGGCCACTTTTTTTTCCCCATTGTTGGATAGTGGTGACTAAACAAAGTTCTAAGAGAGAAGATTTAAGATTAGGTGAATGGAAGAATTAGGGCCAGTTGTACTCACTGGCTTTTACCTGGGATGTAAATTGAATTCTCACTGTACCATCAGCAATGAATATCGCCTGTAACACTTATGGTGGTAAAAAAGGCAGAAAGAAATTATCATGGAATTGTAGGTAGACTTCCTTAGCAATTAAGGAGTTGGATCACAGATCAGTTGGGATGGACAAACTGGTTTGGATAAAAAAATTTCCACCTACTTTCACCTCTTAAACCTTTGTATATAATTTGAATCAAACTCATCAAATCATTTTTCAAAGTATAAACAAATTCCTCTTACTACCCATTATATTTTATTTTCATGTATTTATGCACCATCTGGAAGTGCTGAAATATCATGAGACTGTTTTTGCATAAAAAGTAAGAACGGCAAGAAATCTCACAAGAAAGATTATTCTTGTGGTTTTTCAACTCTCAGTTGCAGACCCAGAAAATTTGGCAAAGCATCCATAATTTATGTATCTGAATAAAATGGAATTACTGAAACTCTGAGGTTTGCCCAGAAATTGAAGAGATAAGACAGTATGTGGATTTTTTTATTTTATTTTAGCTCTTTAAGGGCATCTATTGAATACAAAAAAGTGGTTTTTGGGTTTTTTTAATTTAAAAAACAAAAGAAAAATTGAAACCCTTTCATTGAAAGCGCTCCATTTTTTTAAGCCTTGACCCAGCTATCCTCACTTTTTTGGCAAAACTGTTGGCAAGAGCAAACGGGACAAATACCCACTTTTGTCCAAAAAAAAAAAAAAAAAAAAAAAAAAAAGATGTGGAAGAACGTGCGGGGTGGGGAAAGAGGTGAGAGGGTGAGCGGCAATGCCAGCCCCATGCAGTGTCCTGTTATTCCCTTTGAGAAATATGGTCACCCTAATCACAAAAAATCAGAGTTGGAAGGGACCTCAGGAGATCATCTAGTCCAACCCCCTGCTCAAAGCAGGACAAATCCCCAACTAAATCCCCAGATGGCCCTCTCAAGGATTGAACTCACAACCCTGGGTTTAGCAGGCCAATGCTCAAACCACTGAGCTATCCCTTCCCCACCGTCAGTCATATGAATATTCACATAACTGAGTATCTGGGTTTAGGACACTGTTCACAGGTGCAGACTCACCCTGGGTGCTAGACCAATTGGGATTCATTGCACATAGTATACATTACTAAGAGTCTGCTTAATTAAAGAAAATGATAGAAAAAGGGAAAGAAATAAGGTTCTGTTAGGAGAAACCCTAAAACAGTCAGCACAGGCTAAGCCAGGGGACCCAAACACGCGCGGCCCGCGGGGTTCCTTCGTGCGGCCCGCCAAGCTCCCCGCACCCCTTCTGCCTACCCTGTGGCGCCACGAGTACTATGCCGCTCCCTGAAGCGGCTGGAACTATATCCCTGCAGCCCCGGGTGGGGTGGGGGGGAGGAAGTAGAGGGCTCCGTGCTCTCGCTTCCAGGCACCACCCCGGGCAGCTCCCATTGGCCGTGGTTCCCCAATGGGGGAGGTACCTGGAGGAGCAGCAAGAGCAGCACATGGTGCTGTTTCCTGCTCTCCTCCCCTCCCCCCCACCCCCCGGGACTCTGGCCGCTTCCTGGAGCGGAGCGGGGCCAGGGCACAGAGCCTGCCCTGGCCACGATACGCGGCGCTGCTACCCCGGAGCCACTCTAGGTAAGCGGTGCTGGGCCGGAGCCCGCACCCCTCCTGCACCCCAACCCCCGGTCCGGAGCCCCCTGCCACATCCCACACCCCTCCCACACCCCAACTCCCTGCCCTGAGCCCCCTGCCACACCCTGCACCCCAACCCCCTGCTGCATCTCTCATCTCTCCTGCACCCCAACCCCTGCCCAGAGCCCCCTGCCACACCCTGTACCCCAACCCCCTCCTGTACCCCCCACCCCAACTCCCTGCTCTGAGCCCTCTGCCGCACCCTGCACACTTCCTGCACCTCAAATCCCTGCCCTGAGCCCCTGCCACACCCCACACCCCTCCTGCACCCCCTGGGGACAGGGAGGAGGCAGAGTTGGGGTGAGGACTTCGGGGAAGGGGTTGGAATGGGGGCAGGGAAGGGATGGGAAGAGGCAGGGCCTCGTGGAAGGGGTGGAGTGGGGGCGGGGCCGGAGGCAGCAAGGGGTGGGTGTCAATGCACTAGTCCTCATGCGGCCCTCGTAGACATTTGAGTTTGAGACCCCTGGGCTAAGCCTCTGCTGGGTAAGATTTATGTTGTAAGAGTAGTCAGGCCTCAGGCTTCTGATACATGACTTTAAAAATAAAAAATAAAAATTTACCTCAGGAAGGAAGTGAGTTTAGATCATAAAACCCTTGTTCGTGTTCCTCGTGGGAAGCGGGGCTTACTCCCATTTGAAACCTGTGTAGGCACATAAGTTATTAAAAATCATTATAACTTTTGTTTTAAAAGTGCTCTTCATGCTGAGAACTAATTACTTACCAAATATCCTATTAGATTTGTACAGCTACAAAAACCACTCTATTAAAAATCCAGTAGATTTGTCCAGCTCTTCTCAGTGTGACACTTCACTTTCTTCAGTATGTCCTTTATCATGGTTATTTGCTTATTTTTTGGCTCTCCATCTGATACTAGGCATGCATCTCTCCATGAATTGTGGTTCAACTTTTAGCTTCTACTTCATATTTCTGACAAATACCGTTAATAGGTCATAACTTGCAGGTACACAGCATCAGTGTGCCCCCTGATCTTAGCTGCTTTATACAGCAATGTGATTGGGCTGGAAGAAGTCTGAGAGTTTTGCTCTGGGAAGGGGTTGGCTATTGGATAGCTGTGTAATCCCTGATCCAACTAGTGAGGAACGTACCTCCCTGCAACCTATGTTGCCCAGATGGCTCTTTTGCCTATCCTGCACGAGGAGTCATGTAGCATAGAATAAATTCCTAAAGTTCTGACCTGTCATGCAATGGGCTCACCTTAAAACCCGAGATAGAACTGCCCCAGATAATCTAAAGTCCTGGTCAGTAATGTGAAGAGATGTCCTAGTAGGAAAAACTGTTACTGTAATATATTACAGTCCTTTAATTTGCTTGTGTTTTAGAATTGCAATTTTACACATAAGCATAGGCAGAGAATATGGGGTAACTTTGGAACCGAGTTAGCTATCCTGCAAAAGCCAACATGGAAAGTCATGGGGAAATATTTTGAAATGTGGGCACCTGCAGTAATTTCAATCTGCAAAAACAGGAATGTACCCAT